TTCAACTTAGGGATGTAACCCCATCATAAGTCAAGGTGCATGTTGTAGACAAGTGAATCTTGTCTTTTATGTACTCACGAATCAGTCCCACTAAATCTATATGTTTAGTCTGCATCAATATCACATTTTTTAGAGTTATAATAGCTTTAGAATGTATTTTGTTATCTAGGAGAGCAAATCTCTTGTTCTTCTTTCTCAAAACTAATTAAGCTATTCTTGAGAACTTATTTTTGTTACAAATTTTAAAATTATGTTTTTGAATTATACAAAAATCCTTTAGTTATAATACCATATTCAGTAAGTAATTTGGAGAGAACCGACATTTTTACAATATTGAACAGTACTATCCAACATTTGTTTATTTATATTGTCTGTTATGTCCTTAATAAAATTTGATAGTTTTCTTTACAATGTACATTTCTCATCATTTTATTGCTGAGTATTTTATTTCTATTATGAATCCTTTTCCAATTACATATTCTACTGAATTTGTGCCAATGATCAGAATATCTATTTATTTTGATAAATATACTTTTAAAAATACATTTTATAAAAGCAATATATGCACATATTTTGAAAAAAATCAAACAGTACACAAGGGCATAATAATTCTTTTTCATTTCTCAGTTCACCAACCCAGACCAAAAACTTTTACATGTGTTTGTTTTTAGTTATTCCGGTAGTTGTCTACATTTTTAAAAAACATGTTCTTCTTACTTTTTCTTGACTTGATGACTGGGGGTACTTTTCGTTGACTCCCTGTTGTCTCTGGCTTTCCTCGCCACTCAATTTGGCTATATCACATTTTTACCCCCTTTTTTGGTGACCTTGGTTACTTTCATAATCTAATACCCAAGGCTGGGCGTGGTGGCTCATGCCTATAATCCCAGTACTTTGGGAGGCCGAGGAGGGCGGATCACGAGGTCAGGAGTTCGAGACCAGCCTAGCCAACATGGTGAAACCCCGTCTCTACCAAAAATACAAAAATTTGCTGGGTGTGGTGGCACACGCTTGTAATCCCAGCTACTCAGGAGGCTGAGGAAGGAGAATCGCTTGAACCTGGGAGGCTGAGGTTGCAGTAAGCCGAGATTGAGCTACTGCACTCCAGCCTGGGCAACAGGACGAGACTCAGTCTCAAAACAAAACAAAACAAAACAAAACAAAAACTAATACCTAAACCTCTGACTAATTAAACTAAAGATAAAATTCTCCATATTCTATTTCATGAAGAAAATAGCACCGCCACTATTCCATGTACATTTCCTTCCCTTTCTGCCTTCCAACCTGTTAACTGTACTTGTACATTTTCAAGGCTGATAACATTTGCATCATATTCGGTAATCATAATTCATTCTTCCCTGTTTTGTCCAAGGATTGACTCTAAAAGCTGAAAACCAATATTTATATCATCATGACTATTTAAATACTATCCACTGAAAAACAAAGTTTTATGCTACAATTAGATTTTCTCATCTATTTCTTTAAAGCCTTGACCCACACGACAATGTTCAAAGGAATTCCCTTTCTCACAGTCCTAGCAACTGTCCAAAATCATGCCACATCTGAGGGTGCTTTATATTTGAAGCATGCTTTCTTATAAAGTTTGAAATGTTTCTTTCTCCCTTTTCTGATTGTCATTGTTTTGTTTTTGGTGGGGGAGTGCCGCAGATGAAGAAATGTATGCTTTCTATGTATACATCATGTCCTTAATTTCTTTCAGCTTCTTACTCAATCTATCTATTACTTAAAATTCATTTCATTTAGTTTGAGGTCTACACACTTCCTATTCTAATCTGGAGGATCTGCCTCTCATTTGGACCATTCTTACACAATTTATCTTTCTTTAAGTTTTTTGTTGCATTCTTCTTATGAAATATTTATTTTATTAAATGTAAGAGTTATTTTTAATGCATCTAGTACCTATCTACATTTTGCAAAGTTAATGCTGCTTTTGTTTTATGGATGCAATAGTTTCTTAAATATTTCTGAGAATTTTAATGTTTTTAGGTTTGGTTCTGTTCCTTGAATTTCATATGACCTCAAGAGTCTATTTCTCATGTTATCTTAGATCTTTTTGGTCATATTGCAGGCTTTTAGCAAGTGGTGATTTTTAGCCAGACAGGTCTACAGGCAGGGCTGGTCACTACACTCCAGGGTGGGTGAGCCAGTACATGGGAATCAGCCATCTTGCCAGGCCCCCAGAGGACACAAAGGTAGTAGTGGCTCTAAATATGTATGTGTAGGCAGACACTGAACATCAAAGTAGGGGAAGTCTATGATCAGTTACCATGCCACGTGGAAAAAGGGGGAGCAGTATACACCTGAACCCTTGCTGAAGAGTCCTTCCCTAACCAGTCTTTCTTTCTTTTCTTTTCTTTCTTTTTTTTTTTTTTTTGTTTTTCAGACAGGGTCTCACTCTATTGCCCAGGCTGGAGTGTAGTGGTGGGATCTTGGCTCACTGCTGCAACCTCCGCCTCCCGGGTTCAAGTGATTCTCATGCCTCAGCCTCCCGAGTAACTGGGATTACAGGCAGGCGTCACCATGCCTGGCTCATTTTTATATTTTTTGGTAGAGGCAGGGTTTCACCACATTGGCCAGGCTCCTAACCAGTCTTTCTAAAGTGGTTGGTCTAAAGTAACCCTCACTTATTCTCACTCTCAACAGCCCTTTTATTTTCTTCATAAAAGGAATTGATAATGTATTTCTTATTCACTTCTTCATTTGGTTATAGTTTGCCTGTGACACTACTGTACAAATAAATTCTATGAATGCAAAGCCTTTGTCTATCCTGTTCACTGCTATATCCACAAAACACATACCAGTCAATCAATATTTCTTGAAAAAGGTATGAACACTTACATATTCCTCAGAACCAATTCCACTAACAAATCTCAATTCTATACTACAATAAAAGAAAATTAGAATTAGCATAAGAGATGTAAATAACATAATATCCTAACGATATATTTAGGGTAATCAATTTTATATGATTGTAACTTGCAAAATGCTAATTTCATTTTATTTTTACTGTCCTATACACACATATATACACACAAAGTCAAGTATACAACCACATTATTCAGAGGGTAATACAATATTTATGCCTTTCTTTTTTGTTTTTGAGATGGAGGCTCGCTCTATTGCCCAGGCTGGAGTACAGTGGCATGATCTCAGCTCACTGCAACCTCCGCCTCCTGGGTTCAAGCGATTCTCCTGCCCCAGCCTCTGGAGTAGCTGGGATTACAGGCATGCGCCACCACGCCCAGCAAATTTTTGCATTTTCAGTAGAGACAGGGTATCACCATGTTGGCCAGGCTGGTCTCAAACTCCTGGCCTTGTGATCCGCCTGCCTCGGCTTCCCAAAGTGCTGGGATTATAGGTGTGAGCCACCGCGCCCGGCCGCTTTTCTAATTTATGAATATCACACTAGTGCAACAGAAGTTGTCAAAAATAATTCCAATGAAGTCATTCAATCACATCCTTAAGATTCATAGATAAAACAATTTCTATTTAATTGGTCAACAGCAAAATCCTTGCTAATTGAATGTGAACCTCAAAGATGCAAGCCCAACACAGTCAGTAGTGCAGAGCCAGGTCTGTGATCTAGATCTTCCCTTTCCTGATTCAAGGAAAACACATCTTCCTGGACCTGGGATAGCAACAATCTGCTGCTCACCAAAGTCGGCTCTCTTCTTTGCCTACTGTAACGGTTAATATTGAGTGTCAACTTGATTGAAGGTTGTAAAGTATTGTTCTTGGGTGTGTCTGTGACATTGTTGCCAAAGGAGATTAACCTTCTGAGTCAGTGGAGTGGGAGAAGCAGACCCACCCTCAATCTGGGTAGGCATCATCTAATCAGCTGCCAGCACAGCTAGAATAAAGCAGGCAGAAGAATGTGGAACGAGCAGACTTGCTGAGTTTTCCAGCCTCATATTTCTCCTGTGCTGGATGCTGCCTGCCCTTGAACATTAGACTCGGAATTCTTCAGCTTTTGGACTCTTGGACTTACACCAGTGGTTTGCTAGGGGCTCTCTGGCCTTTGGCCACAGACTGAAGGCTACACAGTCAGCTTCCCTACTTTTGAGGTTTTGGGACTCAGACTGGCTTCCTTGCTCCTCATATTGCAGACGGCCTATTCTGGATGTCACCTTGTGATTATGTGAGTCGATACCCCTTAATAAACTCCCCTTCACATATACATCTATCCTATTAGTTCTGTCCCTCTAGAGAACCCTAATACACTCACCCAGTAGGATTTGATGTCTCCTAGAATTCTAGAGCCTACTATATGTGTAGCAGTTCTCCAGGCTCAGCAACCCAAGTAGCTGGGACTACAGGCATGTGCCACTATGTGCGGCTAATTTTTGTATTTTTAGTAGACACGGGGTTTCACCATGTTGCCCAGGCTGGTCTCGATCTCCTGAGCTCCAGAAATCTGCCCACCTCAGCCTCCCAAAGTGCTGGGACTACAGGCATGAGCCACTGCGCCCAGCCTATCTTTATTCTTATGGCTTCAAAATCTTCACAAGCAACATACATCTTCTGAGATCCAAGCCCCTCTTTCTAATTAATTAACTGATATCTTCAAATGTAAGTTGAACTTAGTAACATTCATCTTTGTCTCTTGAACTAGTTCTTCTTTCAATAAGCCATATGGAACCAGCATCTTCCTAATCAACCAAGCCAAGTGCCAGGAAGTCACACTCTTTCCTGCCCCCACACCTTCCTAGCCAACCAGTCAAGCCCTGTGGAGTTCATCTCCTTAATATTTCTCATGTATCTCTCCATTCTCCCATCCCTCTTCCAGCCATTCAAAGTTATCTAGCACCTGGCTCATTATTTAACAACAGTAATAGAAGAGGATTTCAATTTGGAGTTTACACTAATGTATATAAAATGGCAAACTGTATAAGTAAACTAATCCTATCACTCAGTGAAAAACTGCAAACTCAGTGGAAAATTCTTTCCTTCAAGTTAATAAAAAAATGTAAGGGACTTACTTAAATGGTGTAAACAAAAATGGTAAAGTAACTTCTTTTTTCTGAGTCATTTTCACCTGGGAACCAAGTATGAAAATATTACAAATGAGAAAAAAATGAATTTCATTTTGAAATATAAACATCCATTAAAATGATTCTTTAGGGATGGTTAACCACTTTGAAAATAAATGGAATTTTATGTTACTATATTGTTTCATAAATATTTAAAGAAAAATTTAACATTTTCTTACTATCTCAATAAGCTGAGAACTAAACATATCAATCTTGCAAAATAACATACTGTAATTAAAATTGTACTTCCTTAACTCTGAAAATAAAACAAGCCAAACTGCTTATTCTTAAAAGTGTTAAGAATAACAGAAGGTTTTAGTCAAAGAGTCACCTCTTTAAATTCTTAACGAATCTCATAACGTACATGGAATGACAAGAAATGTTGCAATCTCTAATAAGACTTCTATGGGGCAAATTCTAATAGTTAAAGAATTGACTTGCAGTCGTTGTAAGCATACGTGGTAATCTTACATTCAGTCATTCCCCTCAAAGATAATTTGATGCCCTCAGACTGAGCCATAGAACCTACACTTCAGAAATGTGAAACAAGTCAAATACGTAAAATTTAAGGGTAAATTACAGGGAAATAGTTAAAAAACAAAATCAAGTATTTTCCCTTAATATATTCAATATTTAAATTGTAGTACTGTCCATTTTTGTGCGTGCCTTTTTAAATTTTTTTTTTTTACCTTGAACTGTTCAAGAATCTGTACTGCATTTGTAAACATGCTCTCTGCTTTGAAGAGATCAGTGTTGTTAAGATAATCCACAGGAAGGATTCCCTGCAAATAACAAACACCAGCTTATTGATAGTATTCAGACAGCTCAGGCTATTCTTATAAAACAAAACAGACTGAAAAGCAATAAAGATAAGGCATATGGACAAATAAATAATTGAAATAGTTAAATGAAAAATCTTTTTAAAACTATAACTGAAAAATGTTCTATTATTTTCCTCATAAAGTAGATGTATTAAGATAAGCAAAGCAAGAGATGAATTAAATTCACTAACACCTGGCATTGGCTGAGAGATAACTATGTTCTAGGCAGTGAACTGAGTGCTTCACACACAAAAAACAATTACTATGGTAGGCCACAGCCAGCATACTTAAAATGAAAGACTTCAGACATATCAGAGTGTACCGTACATAATAAGAGTAAGGACTATTCTGGTAAACTTTTGTTTCGTTATACACATACACAAACACTATGACTGTTGGGGTCATATTACTCAGCATTCTGGGTTAAATAACATTATTTTTTAAGAGTACATTTGATTTTGAAGAGCTAATAAGAGTAGCTGGTTGAAATAGTTATTTTCGGCATTTTGGTATCCAGGGCCCATTCTTAACAGCATTACTATTTTCTGTTGAGAAATCTTGCCCATTAGATACAGCATGTTAGGTTTATAATCTAGGGACCTGCTGGTTACAACCCAGGCTAGATCATCTGGAATTTGACTCCTGATAGTCAAGGGATAGAAACTAAGGTATAATGCTACTCTACCCTCATGTCAGTGCCCTGAGAACAGCTCTGCCATGGGATCATGGCTGTGGTTCGTTCTTCCAAGTCTCCAGATATCCTGGTTCCAGGTTATTCCAAGCCTGGTTTTCAAGCACCACTTTGTTTCAGCAAATCACCAATACCTTTTCAATAACTACCCTTTAAACGAAGTCAGTTTTTGCTGCTTGTAATAAAAAAATTACTTACACATTTCTATCACTTATAACCAGAATACAAAGATATAAATCATACACATTTTAGAAAATTAAAGTATTTAAAGAAAAGCTATTTGGCTCATGTTCCATGTTACAGAATATAATACACAAGCAATTATGAGGTACTGCATATTTAGAAATAAATACACAGGAATATATAGTTATAAATGTAATCAAAGATCATATAAGCTGGAAGCAGTGGTGCATGCCTGTAATCCCAGACACTTGGGAGGCTGAGATGGGAGGACTGCTTGAGCCCAGAAGTTCAAGACCAGCCTGGGCAACACAGCAAGACCCTGTCTAAAAAAAAAAAAAAGAAAAAAAAGACTCCCAGATTATTCAGAAACACATAAAAAAGAGTAAATTTTACTGTGCAATAGTTTTTTTTTATACTGAGAATTGATAATAAAATTTTATTCCTTACCACTGAGTTAAGAGGAAAGGGAACTCCAATAAGAGAAGTCATCAATGGTGCAATATCAGCCTACAAATAAAAAAGTTCAATTCTAAGAAGTCTATGGACATCAACAAAGAAATTAAATAATGTAATACAACCATATTTTGGAATATAACCATGGTATTTGTTATAATCAGTTACCTTCAAACATGTATTTAATACAAAAAGATATTAATCTCTAAAAGTGTCATTTGCTAGACGTATATGAATCTATAAAAAAAATTTGAAAAGAAACCAGTAAAAGCCCTAAATGTAAAACATACTAAAACAAAAAAATTACTTATCCTATTAGCTAAGAATTTGACCATTTTATGTAACAGTTTTTCAGTATTATACAAGGATGCCTTATTTAGACATAAAATGAATATCAAGAGTAGACTTTAACTGGAGAACTGTATATATTAACTAGAAAAACAAAGTATCAGAAGGATACTTTGACCAGCCAGTGATGTTCAGAAAAGACATAAACCAGAGAAGAGGCTCTTTAGTCAAAAGATCCCAAATACCATTTTGGATATCTCCTCTTCAAGGTCATTTTCTCGGAAGACTTGTTCATCTTTTTTCTATCTTCACTTCCTCACCTTCCCATCACTCTTCTGCCCACTGTGGCTCACTCTGACCTTTTATCATTCCATAGACTGCTCTCTCTAAGAGAGCTAACCACCCATTTTCTAAATCTAATTGACTACGTTTATATAAGTCCTTATAATTTTTCAGGCAATGAAGTACTCAGAATTGAGAACGCCCAGCTTCAAATTTTCAGGCAGGTTTTTTAACCCTCCAATTGCTCAATTTCTTTATCAGTTAAAAAAATAAATACAAGTTTTTCCCTTAAAGAGGTATGACAGGATTAAATGAGATAAAACTTATAAAGTACTTGGCACAAAATAAGCCTGTGACAATGACAGCTACAAGTGTTGCTGGCATTACTAGACCTTTCAGCAGTATGGCATAGGCCACTCCTTTCTTGGCCTCAACACCACACAGCTGAGTTTCTTCTCTCTCACTGGCTCCTCCTTTTCAGATACCTTCACTACTCCCTCACTTAAAGTTGGAATTCATCAAGTTTGTTCCCAGGCTCTCAATCTTTCTCACTTGCTACTATTTAGACTGTCCTCCAGGTGCCATCCTGCAGAAAACTGGAAATCTCCAAAGTCTTTCTAGTCGCCTTTTCCTTTTCCCTCAGAATCCACTGTCAGCCACCTCTAATCTCTTCTCCACGCTGCAGCCAGGGGGATTCTTCCACACACAAAAAACCACATCGTGTCACTCTCTAGGCTTCAAACTCTTCAAGGATTCTTTGAACTTTCAGAATTAAGTTCAGAAGGCCCATGAGACCCTGAAGGGTCCGTGCCTCCCTTCTGCCTCACACCACCCCATGGCTTCTATTGCGGTATAACAGCTTTCTTCAAGACCCTTTAATACACCATGTAACCTCTCACCAGAACTTAGTGTATGCATTTCCTCTGCCTGAAAAGCCCTCCTCCTACTGCCTTGGCCTACTAATTCTTGCTTATTCATGAATCTTAGCTCAATCCTCGACTTCTCAGGAAGACTTTGCTGACCACAGTCTATCACATACATCCACTCTACAGTCTCACTGCTGCACAAATCTCTTTTGTAGTAGTTACCACAGCTTCAAGTTTACATGTATTTGTACAACAGACTGATGAGTATCTTTTCTTACCCCTAAGGTATAAATTTCCCAGGACAGGGATTAAGTCTGCCTTTACTCACCACTAAATACTTACACTTAGTACAAAGTTGAAACACACCACAGACACATCACAGTGTTAGTAGAAGGAATGAATAGAAGAAGAGATTCTCATTTGATGGAGATCTGAAGCAGGAATGTTCGCCAACAGACTGACAATTCAGAGCAGTAACTGAATCTATGTTAAATTGCTGATTATGATCTGGTCTGGCTATGAATACGAGATGTTCTTGTTTTGTGATCTTCAAGTCATTCCTGTCTTTTTGACAGTGATTTTTAATTGCAAATTAATAAATTGCTAGTCTGACTTAATATGTTCATGTTCATTTACTTGGGTAGTATGCATCTATCCTGGGAGAAGACTATTCTTATTATGCTGGGAAGAAACAAGTTTCTACAACCACAGGTCTGAAAGTGAGACCCTGGACCTTGATTTGTCCACCACAGTAAGTAATCTCAGCTTGTGTGGTGACCTGGAAGGCAAGATACTCCTGCCACTTTGGAAGCCATATCCCAATGATGCTATACCTTCTATAAATAGTGAAAATGGCTATTAAAGTAGCATGTTTTTAACAATGACAATTATGTGCTTCATATTTACAGACAATGCTACTAGTCTAACTTTATCAGACTGGCTATACATTTTCCTCTAACAGAAGGTTTCTAGCTGAGTAATTTATAATCTCATCACTTTTTTCCCATTGCATTTGTAAGGTTGCTGGTTAGAAGTAAAGGTAAAATATGTGTTAACAAAAAGAAAATGTAACTGATATACTATAGGAAAGGAATCCATAACAGGAATTTTAATAGATCTGTGCTTAAATTAAGCAATACAATCATGAAAAGCAATCACAGAAATTTAACAGGCATGCGAACTTCAATTTACATAACAAATAATTATCCAGTGTTATTTGGAAAAAGTCTTTTATTTTCACTTGAAGTTTTGTTTGTTTTGCCACGACAGATTAGTTGAGCCAAAATATTTGCACTAAAAGAATTCCCCTTAGTAACTGAAATGTTTTGAAAAAGAATTTGTCAATATTATCTATTTTTTATAGTTTTTGACTAACCTCCTTATAGAAGATAAAATTAAATTTGAATGTAATAAAATCAAAATGGATACCTGATTGACATCTAGCCTCTTCCAGTTCTCCAATCTCCACTCTGAAAGATAAAATCAGACACAAGATCTGATGTTAAGATTTAAAAAAGAATAAATCATTTGATTTTTAGGAGTGCCCAATACTTATGGAAAACATAGGTATTAGAAATGTCTATTTTAAGCCAACTATGAATAAAAATCATGCTTAAAGGCAAAGGTATATTTTTTTAAATAATTTTTTAAAAAGTAAATATTTGGTGTTTCCTGTGATGGAAGCATTAAGCTTCTTAAATGCTCTTTGGGAGATAATTGTTTCAAAATATCAGAGGCTGAGGAAGGAAAGATGGAAGTGAAAAAGCACAATGGTAACAACTGTCAGCATTGAAAACTCATTACAATCCTGTTCGAGAGAGTTATTAAGGCAATTGATAGGAAGTTAATTAATTCAAGCTTCTCTTTTTTTCTGTGATGGCAGTTGCTCCCAAAACACTTAAAACTGTAGTTGTGATATTCCTGTAGTCACTAATCACAAATGTTAACATAGTATATTGAGTTATTATTAAAATTGCCTTCAAAGATAGGCTCACTCTTTCATTTTGCTACACATAAATTCAGAAATTGCATCTAACAGAAATCGAAACAAGTGATTATGAGAGACCAAGTTTTGATTTAATGGCTTTAGGATATACTGCCAAAAGAGTTATAAGATATTGTATAATAAAATTTCATTCAATAAGCTAATTAAAGTTTAAAAATATGTTTCTGACTCTACTAGTCAACTGCCAAAAATTCACAATAATCAGTTGATGAAAAAGTGCACATTCCTTCTCTCTAAAATGTATATTTAATATTCATATGAGAAAAAATGCATTTATTTTGTGACAATTCTTGAAATCGTGATTCTAAAACATCAATTCAGTGAGAAATCAAATGCCAAAATAAAGTTAAATCTCATAAATACAAACATACTATTTACCCTACTTTCTATTTTGATCCAATCTAATCCATTTATCACAGAGCAGTCAGAAAGGTAGCTCCTATGGCAAACTGGAATGTTGGCAATGCTCTAACAGGTTTTAACGATAGAGCACTGCACTCAGGACATACTTCATGCTCTCCTTACCCAGGCTTTGGTGCATCAAATGATCTACCTCTTGTTTACCTCTCCAACCTCTCAACTCATTATACTCTGCTCCTAGCTGACAGTGCTCAGCCACATCAGCCTTCCAATTCTGTTCCTCGAACAAGCTAAGCTCTTTGTATTTTTTGCCTCTTCATTTGCTATTCCCTCTGCCTGAAACATTCCTGCCCTAACCTTCATATGAATGGCTCCCTCTTATCCTAACTGTGAAGAGACGTACTATTAGCCCACTCTATAAAATGTATCCTGCTCCATAAGGGAAACTTCTAGGGTACTGCAAATGTATGGCGAATCTGGGTGGAGATTACATGGTACATATATATGCAGGTAAAATTCATAAAGCTATACATTTAAAACTAATGCATTTTGCCTCCTTTGCTAAATATCTTAATAAAAACATGGGAGACTGAGTCAGGCATGGTACACACCTGTGGTTCCAGCTACTTGGGAGGCTGGGGCAGGAAGATTGCTTGAGCCCAGGAGTTCCAGTCTGTAGTGAGCTACGATTGGCCTGTGAACCTGTTAACAGTTACTACATTCCAGCCCATTCCATTCCTTTAGAGACACAGCAAGAATCTGTCTCTAAAGAAACTATGGGGGACAGGGTAGAGAAAGGAGCCTGGTCCTACCTCCTCTTTTATCATATCACCCTGATTTTCTTCATAAAATTATCATAGTGTGTAAATTTTGTTTATAATTGCTTTAATTCTCCTACTAGAATGCTAAGTTCTGAGAAAGCAGGGGCTATCTCAAAGATATACAGTAGATGAAAAAAAGAGTCCTCTAGCTTCTTTTTCTTTCATACCTAAATAAATCTGGAAATGATAATGACAGTGTACTGGTTGCACTGTTGTGGCCCCTTGTCAATATCTCCTCTGTGGACCTGTGATTTGGCATGATGCTCTCCATCAGCACTTACAAACATAAAAGAAATCGCCCTCTGAAAAATGCACCATTACTTACTGAAGACATGCTACTGAGTGCATTATTCACTGTGCTCTTCTGTCTTCATTAGGGCCTAGGGTTGAAATAGCTCAGTACTACCTCTTGCTTTTTATCTAATAGAGATATTTTGTAGGTTGTATGATTTTATAACTGATAGTATGTACTTTGCTTGAGTTGAAAAATCTCAATCAAACTGATAATTTACCTCTATGAAACCTTAAATTTCCTCTTATTTAATTTTTATTTACTCTACCTCACATTCAAATTAATTAATAAATTAATAAAAGAACATCGAAAGTTCAGTTTATCAGTTGAGACATTCAGAAAGGTCTAGTTATTAGCAGTGGTGTGCTGGGAAGGGTTCAACAAATGGCTCTTTGAGAAAAGAAAAACCAACAATCCCTTGTAGTGTTTGCATAGAAACAGTAATGGCACAAATGTCAAAATGAGGGATTTACAACTAAAATTTGAAAAGTGATTTCTTAAAAACTTAAACTTTGTTTTTATTTTAAGAGGCTGTGTTTATAAACACAGTAAAGAAATGCTTGTACCTTTCAAAAATGAATCATCAAACTGCTGAGCTGATACTCTTTGGGGATAATTGATTCCAGCTCCCCAAGTGACTAAAGGAGTTAAAGTCTCTGAAGGATGACCAGCCCCATGGGAACCTACAAATAAGATACCAAGAATAATAAGACAAATATAGAACAACTAACTTACAACTAAATATTTTTTAAATAGTTTGTTTTGAAGAGTTGATCCATATATAGTTAATTATAGTGACTACAATGCCAAATGGTTACAACCTTTTATGACAATTAGTTGGGCAATATTCCTATAAAGCGAGTTAGAGAAACAACAACAAACAGGCAAAAACTAAAACAAAAAACCAGAATGTCTGCTGAGTAACTATGTTTGAAAGAATAGAAATAATAACAATAAGACATGGAAGAAGTGTTGCTGCTGCCAGAGTAGCACTGCAGACAGGAAGAACAGAGAGCTCCCTTGGGCAGTAACCACCCAAGCCTGGGGCAAGCAGTAGAGACTTGGTCTGTTCTGGAGAAGATGGTAAGGTCTCTTGATCTTTTTCTTCCAGGCCACTCTGGCAGGTAGAGCCAAAAGAAGTCCTTTATAAAGTGGAATTCAAATCACTAGAAATTCATATTGTGATTTAGGGACAAATTTCATCTTTGCTTTATTTTGTTCTCTGTGCACACATTGCATTTGCCTTGGGAATCTTATAGGGTGCACAGGCTTATCCGGGACAGAATTTCAGCAGCCATCGGTCCCTCAGTAATACCATCTTAACACCACTCCCTCTGCCAACATATACACTTAATTCTCTGTAGACAAATAATAGTTACTTTTTATTTTCTTCTCCACTTTCCTCTAGTTTCTCATTTGTAAATGAGAATATATTCGTTTTTTAGTTAGAGAAAATATTTTTTATATAAGATCAGTTGTTTTTTAGGCTAACATTTTAAGCACAAAATTATGTGCTAGACACTTTGTATACACCAAGACATCTAATCCTCTCAACATCATAAAATATTTGCCAGCTACATTTATCACTACTTTAATTGTAAGGTACATATCAATTAAAGACACACTAACCCCAGTCTGTCATTCCATGGTCAGAGGTAAAGATAAATGTTGTTTTCCCATCATTTCCATAGAAATGGTTAAACATAGACACGATTTCTTTAACTCCATCATCAACTTTTTTAATATTATCCTTGTAGTCTCTATGTATAAAGAAACAGAAGAACAAATTAAATTAATTTGGAGAAATCAAATGTATTCAATGTGGATTTATTACATTCAAAATCAGTAACTTCTGAAATGCTTTTAGATTTCATCTTTAATATTTTAAAATCAGAGCACTCTAGATTGTTGAAATAATTTTTTTTCTCCTTTTAATGAAGCAAAATAACCCAAAATAGTTTTCAAAAATGATTTAAAAGGGGACTGATTACCAAATATATTTTAATAAACTTTTAGGTCCTAAATGAGATAGATGACTTTCCTGTCTCTCACTCTCACTACATAAACTATACTCTTCTGGCCACACTAAAAGTATCATTTCAAGTACAGAATATTTTCATTCCCTAAAGTGCTTGTGATATAAAATATAATAGCACACTCTGAACGCATTATATTTGAGATTGCCATACAACTGAACAAGGTTCTTTCGATACGAATATTCCAGCAATTACAACAGTGCCTCAAGTTTAAGAAGGGGATTGTGAGGTATTCATTACTGGTAGCTAACCCAATAGGCTTTACAGCTACTGTTAGGCTAATCTAAACCAAATGCAAAATAAGAAATAAGAGTATAACATAGTATCTTCCTTTTACTTGTGGTCTTCAAAAGTGAGAAAAATCTTTGCTGTTATATATAAGGAGTGTTACTGAATTATGGTATACAAAAATTTATACAATTTATATGCTAGATACAATACTAATTAAACGGAATACACAAGGAATAGATAATTACATCTTTTGGTGATATAAAAGTTAATACCATAGAATGCTTTTATTTTCAAGATTCACTGAAAATATTTCTAAAATATATAGATATTTTAGATCATTTTTTTCTCTGCTTCAGTAAATGAAGACTATGGAATATGTACAGGATATATTTTACTTATATTAATGTGTCATCTGGATACAGCACATATGATTTAAACCACTACATCAGAAATCTCATATAATCAAGAACTTAATATACATTACAGTAGTTATTTAAAATATTAGCTCTGTTGTTATAATTCCAAAGAAAACATTATAATAATTTAAAAGTTCAATAGAATAGATGTTTCCCCTAAAAAATACAATTAAACATAGCATGCATTAAATTACCTCGAGGATGGTCGATGAGCATGTCCATTTGTATCTATTCCTAATAAATGTAAGAAAAAAACTATTTTCTCTTCATTTATTTTAGAAAACAAAGACTGGTTGTTCCTGGCATGACGAAAGAAGTCCTACATATAACAAATGAGTTAAAAATACTTAGTTCATTTGTTTTATTTTAAAAGTAATACTGATGAAAACATTTAAATTTATGCATAAGTACAAAATTAAATTATCTCACGTTATTTAAATCTGTGACCTACCAACACAACGTCTTTGCTATCAGCTCAGACATCTATGTTCAATGAATTAGCTGTTTGTTATAAGAAGGCCAAAAAAAGGTGTTAGAAAGGGGATCATAATTTCATAGAGATCTCATAATGTTAATCTCACATCTAACTTAATAAAATACAGCAGATTGAAGACATATTTTGGCAAGAGCCAAAAATAAAATAGTAATAGTGTTATCAGTTTAAGAATCATTTATTATTTTTAAATATTTCAGAACTGGACCACTTCTCATTGTCCTGTGTACTACCAACCTAGTCCAAATGTAATCTCCAATTTAGAACATTGCAAATAGCCTCCTCATTACTTCCTTTGCCCCAACTAGAATGTGTTCTTCAAATCATGTAACAGAAAAGCATCAAATTCATAAAATGCCACTTGGCAGGGTGAGGCTGGGAATAATTAATAAAAATAAAATTTGAAGATTATTATGCTAATTTAATAATGATAAACTAGATTCATAAACCCTTCTAAGGCAAATGATTCATCCTGTATTCATATATGCATGAACATGGGTTCAAAACTATGAAGACCACTTTTAAATTATTTTAAAATAAGTTAACAGGCTATCTAAGATACATCTTTGTTGTTCACATAAATGCCTTTAACTGTAGAAGATGTTAACTTTTAACAAGAGATGTTTAATTTTTCAACAAAAGTCTGAAGTATTTAAGTATTTTTTTCAAATAATTCTTCATTACTATGTTAAAAAATACAAATGGTGCAATTAGAGAACTAGCTATTCAAGAATAGAAATAAATTAATATAATATGTAACCTGCTATCATCTGTCTCAAAAGTATAAAATTGCCCCCTAACTTTCATATACATTCTAATTAACTCCTAAGAAAATTTAAAAACTAGATAAAAATGATAAGTTCTTTAAGAGAAAAGAATTAAAAGTTAAACACATAATTGAAAGCTGACAAAAACAAAAAAACTGAGCAAATGACTTGAATTATATCTATAATTTGTTCTATGGCTGGTACAATATATTCAGCTACGTAATCCTTTCTTGGAGCTAGATGTGCTCATCCTATCCTTTCTTGCAGCTACATGTGCCTTTGTGGTTTTGGCCAATAAGATTTAAGTCAAATATTTCAGTCTTAAAGCTATGTGGATCTAAGGCTCTTTGAAATAAATATAATCCAGTAGGAAAGATCCTTTTTTCTTCTTCATACTGTTGACCTAAAACACTAACATAAGGGCAGGAACTCCAAGGGTATCTTGAGTCATGACATAACCTTGAAGATAAAACTCACGCTCTGAGGTTAGAGGAAGACTTCAGGAGACTGAGTGTCAATGACATTGTGGAGCCAATATAGCACCCTGGACTGCATCAATGCTCAGCTGCCTACTGCTGGCATTATCTTTATGTAAGATAGAAGTAAACTTTTATTTTCTTCCCTATTCCACAGGTATGATCTAATCTAAGTTAGTATACTTATTCATGTATCAAACAATTCCCTGATAGAGGAATTATTGTTGTTGTTGTTATTGTTGTTTTGTTGCTGTTGTTGTTTGAGACAAAGTCTCTATCGCCCAGCCCAGGCTGGAGTGCAGCGGCACAATCTTGGCTCACTGCAACCTCTACCTCCTGGGTTCAAGCAATTCTTGTGCCTCAGTCTCCCGAGTAGCTGGGATTACAGGCATGCACCACCATGCTCGGTTAATTTTTTTGTATTTTTAGTAGAGACAGGGTATCACTATGTTGGCTAGGCTGGTCTCAAACTCCTGGCCTCAAGTGATCCATCCACCTTGGCCTCCCGAAGTGCTGGGGATTACAGGCGTGAGCCACTGCGCCCAGCCTCTGATAGGGGTTTAAAGTTAACAGTGTGAAAAAGTCAGTATCTCTGCCAACAAGATGTATATTGAAGGGGAATATGTCAATGTATGAACAGTTATAGTATAGCACAATAAAGTATTAAGGGAATATAGAGGAGGGTTATCTAAGTCAAAGTGGAAATAGGGTAAAGCAAAGAGAAGTCAGAGAAGACATAATAGAGAAGATGATGCACGAACTGAGATTTTTAAAGTGAATAGATTCAACCCAGGTGAACCTTTGAGGCCATTATACTAAGTGAAATAAGCCAATCACAAAAAGACATAGACTGTATGATACCACTTATGATATAAGGTGCCTAGAGTAGTCAAATGCATAGAAATAGAAAGTAGAATGGTGGTTGCCAGGGGTTGGGGGAGGGGGAAATGAATAGTTTTGTTTGTTTGTTTGTTTGTTTTGAGACGGAGTCTCACTCTGTCGCCAGGCTGGAGTGCAGTGGCACGATCTCGGCTCACTGCAACCTCCGCCTCCCGGGTTCAAGCGATTCTCCTGCCTCAGCCTCCGAGTAGCGGGACTACAGGCATGTGCGCCACCACGCCCAGCTAATTTTTGTATTTTTAGTAGAGAAGAGTTTTACCAGTTGGCCAGGATGGTCTCAATCTCTTGACCTCATGATTCACCCACCTCAGCCTCCCAAAGTGCTGGGATTACAGGCATGAGCCACTGCGCCCAGCCAGAAACTAATTGTTTAATGGGTACAGAGTTTGTTTTGCAAGATGAAATAGTCTAGAGATTAATTGCACAACAACATGAATATACTTAACATTACTAAATTACAGATGCTCCTCACTTACAATGGGGTTATATCCCAATAAACCCATCCTAAATTGAAACTATTGTAAGTCAAAAATGCATGTAATATACCTGTTACAGGTAGTGAGACAGGAATGAGTGGGACAAGAGAGGGGTCTTCCCTAACCCACCAGGAATGTCAGGTGATGATTCAGCAATTATCACACTGCCTCTCTAAAAGTAGTAGATTGGCAGCTGGCACCAGGGAGAGGCCATTTCCTGATGGTCCACACTTGCTGCACTAAAATGTTAACTGAATGCAAGCACCAGAGAGATACATTCCTGGGCATGTGCATTAAGAGACCAAATGGTGAAGTATGCCCGTCAGGGGGCACTCCACCAGAAAAGGAAAGAAAGCCTCGGATGGGTGTGTGTACAACTTTCTAAACACACTGCATGCTCACCTTCCAACGTTAAGGAGGGCACTGCGCATGCGGGTGCCCCACCCTACAGGAAGAATCATGGAAAGGGGCCAGCCTATAAAGTCCTAGGATCAAGATTAAACACTGCACTTGACCTCAGTGCTCACTTCTAGGCATACTTCCCATTCTTTCCTGTTCTAAAGCTTTTGTAAATAAAATTCCACTCCTGCCTTGGTCTCTTCTTCTGCCTTATGGCCCTAGTCAAAGTTTTTCTTCTGGGGAGGTAAGAATTGAGGTTGCTGCAGATCCTTACGGATTTGTTGCCAGTAATTCAGATACCTTCCGCCAGTAACATACCTAATCTACCAAACATCATAGCTTAGTCTGGCCTACTGTCCACGAAGAGTCAAACTCTATAAAATATTTGAAGAGATTTATTCTGAGCCAAATATAAGTGACCATGGCCCATGACACAGCACTCAGGAGATCCTGAGAATATGTGCTCAAGGTGGTTGGGGTGTAGCTTGGTTTTATACATTTTGGGGAGACATGAGACTTCAACCAAATATATTTAAGAAATATATTGGTTTGGTTCAGAAAGGTGGGACAACTCAAAGTGGGGATTGGGGGGAAATTTAAAAATTTCTGGTAGGCAATTGGTTGAGTTTCTCTAAAGACTTGGGATCAAAACAAAGGAATGTCTGGGTTAAGATAAGAGATTGTGGAATCCAAAGTTCTTATTTGCAGAGGGACCCTTCAGATAGTAGGTTTCAGAGAGAACAGGTTGTAAAATGTTTCTTATTAGACTTTAAGGTCTGTGTTGAGGTTAATGCCAGAGAGGTATAATGAGGCATGTCCGACACCCACCTCCCCTCATGACCTGAATCAGCCTCTCAGGTTACATTTTTAAAGCTTTTAAAAAGCGCCCTGGCTGAGAAAGTTCATTGAGATGCTTGCGGGGGTGGTGCTTAGAATTTTATTTTTGGTTTACACTACCTTCAACATGCTCAAAACATTTACATTAGCCTACGGTTGGGCAAAATCATCTAACATAAAGCCCATTTTTTAATAAAGTGTTGATAATGTGAGATAAGTGAGATAATAATTACTATTTCATGTAATTTTTGAATACTATACTGAAAGTAAAAACCAAAATGGTTGTATGGGTACTCAATGTATGGTTTATACTAAATACGTATGGCTTTTGCACTGGTGGAAAGTCAAAAGAATCGAAAGTTAAACCACTGTTAAGCTGGGGACTGTCTGCAAACACTTAAAATGCTTAAGATAGTAAATTCTGTATTTTGCATATGTATTTTTTTTACCACAATTACAAAAAACAGGTGAGTAGAAAACTGCATGGATCTGGAAACTGTTTGGTTTGAATTAAGCATGAGTCTCTAGCCAGGATATGAAGTAAAACCCTTAACTCACTCTCTAGCCTCTTCTGAGACCTGGCTCCCAGGCAGTCCTCCTGCCACACTAACCTCTCTTCTTTCACTTCCTCAAATCCATTATGCTGACTCTTGACCAAGATTTACATAATGCTGCTGGCCTGAAATACCTTTCCATACCAATCCATCCCTACCCATTTCTTTGTCTCCTATACCTGTTCTGAGATTATCTCAAACCTCTTAGGCTTCCCCTAACTACCCAGTCCAGATTAGAATTTTCTGAAGATACATTCTTGGTCTGTATTTTTCCTTCACATCACTTACCAATGCTGATGACTTCATATTTTCATTATAACTTGATTAATATATATCTACCATATTTTATGAAGAAGTCATGTGCAAATCTTTTTTTCTGTCCACTACCATGTCAAGACTAGTAGTGTTGAAATAAAGAAAGGAAGACAGACATGAAATCAGGCCAGCTACCAGCTAAGTATGTACATTCGCAAGGAATCAATTCCATGATTTTGGAGGGATTTTAGCTACACACACGAAATTAGAAGCCAAAGGCTTTCATGCAGATATTAATATTAGTACATTATGTTAAGAAGTGATGATTAGCAAAATAATTTGCTAATCATTTTCTCAAAGAGATTTTATTTAAGATGAAAGTTTTCCCTGTTGACAAAAGTATACATTAAAAGTAAAAAGAAAATTTCAAGGGAAAAGATCCTTGGAAAAAAATAGGGTTTAGCCATGAATTTTAGAGCACTCAATTTCTGCTAAGCAAATACAAAGAAAAAGGCAGATATATACTGAGGAGTACATTCACAAACAAAAATGGCTATATCATGGAGAAGTCCACAAAGTCAGTTCAAAAGACACTATTAGAAAAAAGAAGTGTCAATCAAAGCCTCTTATAATGGATGAATTATGAGTTGTTATTTGGAGATGAGGAATAATGCACTGGTAAAAGAAGAGAGACAATGTCCACAATTGAGATTTTCACACAATTTTTGAGAATATAAATTATATTGTATTCCTCATGAAACTATGATAATTGTCACTATAAAATGTTCAAAAAACTCTGTACTTAAAGAAACCATAGATTTTTATTATGATCAATTTGCTAATTTGTTTTTGCTTATATAATCTGCTATCTAATTTTTCTTTAAAGTATAATTTTTTTTAAATCATACACTTTGTTATTATAAATGTATTATATTTGAACAGCATTTTCCCAAAGGCTTTCATATATCTCACATGGTCCATTACTACAAGAGAATGATTCCAAGGTCAATGAAAGATCAAAATTTACCCAGGATGAATCACAAACTAGAAATGAAAAACAGGTTTCCTAAATCCTAATCTAGGGCTCATTTTACTAATAGAAACAAAGAAGTTTAAAACTTCTCTTGTTTATTTAGAATGTGTAATTTTTTATAATTAAATCTTAGAATTCAGAACAGTATGCTACAATATAAAACTTTTAAAGCTCATGCAAACAGAAAAAACTTGAAATACAGTCTCCAATACTTCAGATAAAAATATGTTTTTTGTATATTAACCACTCAATAGCACAAACCTTAACATTATCAAAAACCCACGTATCCAGTTTTGTTGCATCTTGAGCACCAAAATCCTCTCTTTTAGCATCATAACTGTATGTATAAACGTGGTCTCCACTAGCACCTGAAAAGGAAATTTGGAAAAAACAATTTTTTTACAAAATCTTTTAAACTATCATAAAGTATGAGATAGTCATTCACAGATTTTTGTGAGTAACCAGAATTTTCACAAAGCATTGTTCATTATGATGGGGAAGAGAAAAATGGGAGGAATAATTAACATTTATGTATATTATGTCCTATGGACCATGCTACATACTTTAATGTATACTATTGCTTTTTGTCCTCAAAAATAACATATTTTAATTTCACAGATTCACTATATGTTAATTAACACACCAAAATCACAACTCTAATAAGCAATATAACAAAAATAAGCACAATAGTTGTCTCCCTTTAAGGATTAAACCATTCAAAACATGTGTGCCCCTTAGAATGCTACAATCTAAAATAGATGAAGATGTGTGGTGTACAAACCTTCTTAACATAAGAAGAAAATTCAAATATTTCACTTCTCTTATTCATAAACTATGCGTATTTTTCTCAACTTATAAGAGAATAAATATTGCTTATTGCCAAAGAGTTTGAAGGGGTCAACAGATATAATAATCTCATACATTTGCAAGACTGTATTAAGAATCTAATCAGTTTAGTGAATTTCTGAGTTTGATAGGCTCTTGCAGGTGATAAGAAAGAGATATGACTAGCGTGATGGCTCACACCTGTAATTCCTGTATCTTGGGAGGCCGAGGCAGGTGGATCACCTGAGGTCGGGAGTTCAAAACCAGCCTGGCCAACATGATGAAACCCCATCTCTATTAAAAATAGATGTGGTGTGTGGTGTATGTGTGCCTGTAATCCCAGCTACTCAGGGGGCTGAGGCAGGAGAATCACTTGAACCGAGGAGGCGGAGGTTGCAGTGAGCTGAGATTTTTCTACTGTGCTCCAGCCTCGGCAACAAGGGCAAAACTCCGTCTCAAAAAAAGAAAAACAAAAACAAAAACAAAAAGAAAGAGATACAATAAACTAATACAATCTTTATAGCACCAGTTCAGCTCTAATGACCCTATTCCACAGCTCAGCCATTCTACTTCCCACATCCCAAATAAAAAGGTCTGACTGGGTTTGTTGTTTACCATAAGATATGGAACATTCCTATTAGACTATCTCTAATTCAATTATTGGTCCTGTCTCATCCATTGTAGCCAGAAACAAGAATGTTAGTTTGATAAGCCATAGCAACTTTATCTACCCTTACCACCACCAACTCCCAAAAAAACTAAACTGCTTTCCAAAGAAGGCAATATATAAATGGCAAACAGTTTGGGGCTCTTTGGTCCACCCAGTATAATAATGTTCTATGACTATCATCTGTAAAATTCTCAATATATATTTTGCTTCCTGGACACGTAATAATCTTCAATAGTTCCCATTATTTTAATTACACTCATGACTAAGTATGTTACAAATCCTTTCTGATAAGTGAAATGATCAATCATTCTGTTTCCACTTAAAAGCATTTAATGACATGAAATTCATCCAACTGATTTTAGAAAATAATATAAATGAACTTTCTAATTAAGAGATGTCCCAATGTTTGCAGAACCATGCATATAAACAACAAATCTAAATGCTATATTCAATATATTAAATATCAATTTAAATAAATTATATGTTAAATGCCATCTATATTAAATGCCAAAATATATGGCATATTCAATATATTAAAATAGGAATTATAACTATACATTTTAACACTTAAATCTTTTGTTTTTTTTTTGAGACACGGTGTTGCTCTGTTGCCAGTGCAGTGGCATAATCATGGCTCACTGCAGCCTCAACATCCCAGGCTCTCAAGTGCTCTTCCCACCTCAGGCACCTGAGTAGTTGGGACTACAGGCACATGCCACCACACTCAGCCAATTTTTTGTTTGTTGTAGAGATGTGGGTCTCACCTTGTTGCCCAGACTGGTCTCCAACTTCTGGAGCTCAAGTGATCCACCTGCCTTAGCCTCCCAAAGTGCTGAGATTACAGGTGTGAGCCACTGTGCCCGGCCAATGTTTAAATCTTCATATGAATATCCACTAACTTTTAAAATGATTTGCCAAAGTATAATGAACCACGCCTCAACATCACCATTTATAATGAAGTTATGTGAAAAGTGCTATGCTAAATATTTCACATGAATTACATAATTTAATTCTAAAAATAAATCTATGAGACGGAAACTAATATTATCACATTTTATAAAAAGGAAATTGAACCTCAGAGAGATTATATAAATTGCTCAAGATTATATAGCTGTTAAGTGATAGAGCCATATACCATTTAATTGAATCCAAAATACTATCTAACTGTATGATGTACCAATATTTCAAGTATAACTAAGAAGGAAAAAAACAATGCCAATTAAACAGACACATCTATCACTGTAATTAAATATCCCTATTTCAGAAATGTTAAACATGTAAAAATATGTGTAAAAATTAACAAATACAGTATGTATATAAAAACAGAAAACTACCATATTGACTTATTCCCTATTTACTATCGGAGGAAACATAATCAGCAACTCTTACCTTTGGCAAACATAGGCAGGATATCTGGGCTTCCCCAGCTCCATGTGTATTTACTTTCATTAAAAAGAGAATCAAATTCTACAGGATTTTCCTTCCATCCTTCAGAAAGCAAGCAAGCAGTAATAGTAATATATACATGGTACAATAAGCCCCTAAAGAACTATTCTTCAAATAATAACAATTAGTCAGTGAAAAATGCAAAACTAATAGTAGATTTTATATTATGTATATTACACCACTATTTTAAAAAAACTAACAATAGATAATTTACTTCTTAATGAAATATAAAATTATTTTTGAACTTTCAAGAATAATATCTAGGAAAATTATGCTTCCATCCAACCCAAATTCTTTCAATAACACAGGAGAATGAAATACTAAAGCATCATTCTGGAGTCAATACCAGTGGGTGTTCATGTCAGTAAGGCATGCTAAAACATTTGTCCAAAGTATCTCAAAACATACCTTCACTTTGTGACATGATTAAGCGGTAAAGGACTAATATTTATTTGACAGATGTTTCATTTAATAAGATTGTCCAAATACACAATACCTTTGGCAACTGCGCTGACATCTTCATAAAACCCAGCTATCAGAGCTACATGACCTGGCCGAGATTCTGTCGGCACACGTGTATGAGATATGCCCCAGCTGCCTTCATGCATTATGATATTCCTAAAAGATATTAAAGACAAATAGTTAACACAGACTATGATTAGATACTCTCATATAAAGCTTTAGAAACATAAGATTATTAGAGAAGGAATCAAAAGCAAAAAAGTAAGTCAAAACTTAAGAAGGAAAGGAATCTTTCAAATTCCAGCTGAGCCCATTCCAAGCATCTACCAGCTGAATGAAGCAGCATGAATTTGCTGATGTAAGACCAAACGAAGAACCACTCAACCACGGCACAGAATCATGAAACAAAATACATGATTGTTGATTTAAGCCACAAAATAGAGATGGCTTGTTATATAGAGATAAAACATATATTATGATATCAATGTTAAATTGCATTAGGTGTGATAATAGTATTGTGGTTATTTAAGAGATATAGGCTGAAGTGTTTGGGGTAAAGTTTCTTGCTTTCAAATTGTTAAGGAAAAAATAATTAAAACTAGGTACATATACATGGGCACCGCTGTGGTGGGGGTGGCAGAGGGGCCAGGAGAGGGTAAACGCAATTATGAAAAAAGGTTAAAATTGTCATACCAGGTAAAGGGTATACAGATGTTCATCACATAATCCTTTCAACTTTTGTTTAGTTGAAAAATTCTTAAAATAAAAACTAAGAGGAGGGAAAATGGCTACACTCCTAATTAGGAGTTAAATTATATCCCCAAATTTGAGACTAAAACAGGCAGAAAGATTATTTTGCTAAAAGATGTCAACATTATTTAAGTTGTATCACAGTGATTTGCAAAATTTGGGGAAGAAAGCAAAACTACAAGTGATGCTATTACAGGTAAAAGGCCAGCAGAGCAATAAGTTATAAAATAGTAAACTCATCACTAACATTTTTCAATATAAATATCTGCCTCTCAATACATTCTAAAGTAAAATATTTATAACTACTAGTGTCAGTTCTTTTACTACTGACTTACCTAATAATAAAAGCAGTTTTGGTGTAATACATACATAATAAGTAAACAGTTTCAAAACCACTGGACCAAATATTAACAGAGAAATATTCTTTAACTTCTTGAGTTATATAATGAAAACTGGACTTAAATAGAAAGGGGAGGTATAAAGAAATATGGATACTCTATTTAAAAGCATTAGTTTAGATACTGTATTTAAAAACATTAGTTTAGATCACATTTTTAAAAAACAAATTTTGAGCCAGGCTCAGTGGCTCACACCTTTAATCCCAGCACTTTGGGAAGCCAAGGCAGGTGGAGGTCAGGAGTTCAAAACCAGCCTGGCCAACATGGTGAAACCCCATCTCTACTAAAGATACAAATATTAGCCAGGCGTGGTGGCATGGGCCTGTAATCCCAGCTACTCAGGAGGCTGAGGCAGGAGAATTGCTTGAACCTGTGAAGCAGAGGTTGCAGTGAGCCAAGATCGTACCATTGCACTCCAGCCTGGGTGACAGAGTGAGACTCCGTCTCAAAACAAACAACAACAACAAAAAAAAACCTTTCAAAAACAGGCTTAGAAGAAGCTAGAAGATTCCTGACATTGTAAATATACAATGGCACACAACACAAAACATCAACTGTTTGAGCCCACAGAGTTTCTATAAGATCCAAAGGAGAAACAAGTGCCACCAGAAAAAGTTGACTATATTTTACCAGTATATTTTCATCATCTTAATTTTGAAATGAAGCATATTTCTCTCTTTCCTTTGGCAATTAAGAAATTCACCCAAATACTTCAATTATTTCTGAAATTTGTTACACATTTTTGTGTCCTGTACTTAACCTTGGTTTGATCTTATTTTCCCACAATATTCCTCTATTGACTTGAGTCACTCTTTTACTTATTTTTATCCCTCAATATGTTATGCATCTCTTTGAGCTATCATAAATTTAGTTCTGAAAATTCAACACAGCATTCGAGTTTATCCATTCTTCTAGCTGTCAACAAATATTTGTTAATTGCCCATTATGTTATAGGAACTGGAGATAAAGTAGTGGATAAGTTCCCAATCTCATGGAACTTTCATGATTGTAAGTACTATAAAGAAAAATAAAACAGGGCAGGCGTGGTGGCTCACACCTGTAATTCCAGCACTTTGAGAGGCTGAGGCGGGCGGATCATGAGGTCAGGAGATCGAGACCATCCTGGCTAACACTGTGAAACCCGGTCTCTACTAAAAACACAAAACACTAGCTGGGTGTGGTGGCAGGCACCTGTAGTCCCAGCTACTCCGGAGGCTGAGGCAGGAGAATGGCGTGAACCTGGGAGGTTGAGCTGGCAGTGAGCTGAGATTGCGCCACTGCACTCCAGCCTGGCTGACAGAGCGAGACTCCGTCTCAAAAAAAAAGAGAAAGAAAACAGAGTAAAGTGACAGTAGGTAATGATGACAGATGAGGATGGGGGGAAGACACAACATGTTAGAGAAATTTCCTCTCGAATTTGATTTTAATCTCTCCACAACAGCATTAGAAGGCCTTTCAGGAGTTGCCACTAATCAGAAAAAGAGCAATTGTTTGTAGGCCCTTTGTAAGTCCAAGAAATTAAATATTTCTTTTTAAAGTGACTTAATAGAAGCCAAAGTTACATTAAACAGTGATATAAACATGAAAGGGCTCTATATTCTTTTACGGAACGTTGTGTTTTTAATGTGAAGTCTATATTTTCTACCTACACATCGTTGAAATTAGTAATTCATTAATATTTATGCTTGTCTTTATTTTGTAAAATCAGCAGATTTTTTTCTTTTTTGGTTTTTTGTTCGTTTGTTTGAGATAGAGTTTGGCTCTTGTTGCCCAAGCTGGAGTGCAATGGCGCCATCTCGGTTCACTGCAACCTCTGCCTCCTAGGTTCTCCTGCCTCAGCCTCCCGAATAGCTAGGATTACAGGCATGCGCAACCACGCTCAGCTAATTTTTTGTATTTTTAGTAGAAACGGGGTTTCTCCATGTTGGTCAGGCTGGTCTCAAACCCCCGACCTCAGGTGATCCACGCACCTTGGCCTCCCAAAGTGCTGGGATTATAGGCGTGAGCCACCATGCCCGGCCAGCAGATTTATTTTTTAAGAAAAAAATAATATAGTGAGTCCTGCGCCACGTTTGGGAAATTAGGACAAGTTAGCTTAAGCAGCTAAGCCTATCCATTTCAATTCGCCATTATCAGCTTCAACAATACCAGAAATAACACCTAGGAGGAAATAAAGTGGCATCTAGTGCTGATCCATAAGACAAAGGCAAATGTACAAGTGCCCTATTCTCTTTCTCATCATCACCCCTGTGCCCAGTATATGATAAACAGCAAGATATTTTGCAGTTGACTTAACTCAGAAGAACATTTTAAGAGATGTCTCTTATGAGTGTACATGCTTACCTAAGAGATGTCTCTTATGAGTGTACATGCTTACCTAATAAACGGTGCTCTAGAGGTCCCATTTTCATCTAATTCGTAAAGTGTGTCTGCTCGAAGGCCATCAGCAACAAACAACACTAATCTTCTCGCTGGAGGGGGCAATGGTGTAAACTGAGGAGTCATTCCATGAACCAAAGGAGATGTAAAATAAATGTCAAAGATGGAGGCGAAGAACACAAAATGTATAAGCAATCCCAAAGTAAAGAACAGCAGCATAGCCAGTGTAACTAATTAGTCTTCAAGGACAGCTGAAAGAGGGAACAAAATTAAATTGGGGTAAATCTTAATGCAATCATATGTATTTTCACATATTTTGATGATTACAAGTAGATTAAACATATATTTTTAATTATTATATAACTCACAACTTTACTTTCATTTGTGGTGGTAACAATAAGCACTATTTAATAATGTGACATAATACTGAAATCAAATACATAATAAAGTACATCCAAGCAAAAAGAAAAAGTTCAAGTATAATAAGTAATTGGGACAAATAAATTATAATGAATTTAAGTCCATAATAAGCTCATAAAAATTAACACAGAACCAAAGAACAAATAAATAATTAAATCAGTCCTAAAAAGAGTTAGCGTTCAGCCAAGTCAAATCGTACAAAAAGAAAATATAACTCGTGCAACTCTTGGTTGTCCATATGACAATCATTACCAATAAGGGATTTTTAATTATTTAAATCAGTTATAATTATTTAGATGTTTGTGCATTGATTTAAATTATTCAAATATTTGTGATTTTTTCTTCTTACTTTGGTAATCAGCTCAGGGGTATTCTGGCTCTCTTGACTATTACCACATTGAGCAGGAAACGTGCATTCTATCACATTTGACAGAATCATATGAAGTTAAATTTCATCTGTGCTTCAGAAAATCTGTACTTATTAAAGAATCATTTTATTTTAGTTCCCTGAATCAATCAAAAAGGTTACATTTTGTCCACTCAATAAAAATGTTTTGTGCATACATCACATGCATAATTGGATGCTGGGGTACCATAGAGAATATCCAGTTCTCTGTAAGTTCATCACAGAGCTGATGAACTTACAAATACTTAAGGAAGAAAAACAAAGCACTATGAAACATTTAAATAATACTGTAAAAGAAGATACCAATGGAACATGGGAGTGTTTTCCAAGCCAGTCTGTAATTTGCTATTGTTGGTGAATCTCTGCAGGTCAAGGAGAAAAAAAAAAAAAAGTATTGGAACTTGTCTTACTTGTAATGTAACAGCATTAGTTACATACAGTGATCCTAGACTGAAAAACACCAAGGATGAGGTAATTTTAACTACAGACACATCTTTTTCTTCTTGGCCTGAAGAATCACATCATGGAAGGAAAGGATGGCAAAATACCTTGCAAAAACAAATGAAACATTGGAAAAACACTCATCAAAGTCAAGCAGATTATAAAAAAGAAAATATGATAGAGCAAAAGGTCAAATTACAAGCCACTTATTTTCTGAGAACCAAGGGTCAACTAAATATCAAAGATATTCTACGAAGTACAAAAGTTCCTTAGTGAGTAGATGCTATTTTGCATCTCATAGCTAACCGACAAAGAGAATCTTTACATGTTATATAGCATATTCCCTCCCCTCTTTGGTGCTACTACAAATCAACGTTCTATTTTCTGAGGCAGTTTAGAATAATAATCACTGTACTTAATTTTTTTAAAAAGTAAACTTTATGTATTTTTACTAAACAACCTAATGAATATTAAATGCTAAACTATCAATGTGAATGTAAAATAATTCTGAATATATTTGTGTTATTTTCTTAAATATATTCTCAATGTAGAATTAAAGATTCAATGATTGTGAAAAATTCTTCAAATTTCCAAACCAATTTAAAATTCCATTAAAAACGTGTAAATAAATGTTTACCCAAATCTGAAAGTTCTGAACATTGACAGTAATCTTTTTAGTGCGTCAGTCATATTACGGTACTTTAAATTTATATCCATTTTCATTTGCTTGCCTGCTAGCCAGTAAGGGTGTGTACTGATTTCCTAGTTACAGTTTTTCATGGCTTGCTCTTTTGTTTTGATTATTATAGTAGAGCTCTTTTAGACATTAGACCTTTTCTACTCTAGAGACAACACAGAGGTCCCAGTGAAAAAAGGACTATGGTACACCTAATAATAAACCTGACCCAGTTGTATTTTCCTGTTGGAGATTAGCTTTATTTTCAAAGCTAATATTTGCAGGGTGTTCTGGTCCCCGAAGAAACCTAGATTAGTTACCTTTGTGGCACATGGTATTTTTTGTTTTCAATTTTGTTTCAAGAGCATTTTGTTGAGCCAACTACTTAAAAATTCCCTCAGAGAATACGAAGAAGAAATGCAAAAGTATCTATATCTAAATTTACCCTCCAGGTTTATCATCATCTGTTTAAAAAGATTTAGCTTCTAAGGAACGTCTATGTTCAAAATTATAGGTCTCCAAAGGCTATAACTCACCTCACTTTGCCCAGGACTGAGACATAATACTGTTTCTAGAACATAAAACATTTTTTAAAATTGTTTAAAAATTCACATAACATTTACCATTTTAGACATTTTAAAGCACAGAGTTCTGTAGTGTTAAATATATTCACAGTGTTGTACAACCAATCTCCAGAACTTTTCATCTTTCAAAACTGCAACTCTATACCCATTAAACAACTCTCCATTCCCAATGCTGGGGAACCACTGTTCTACTTTCTATTTCCATGAGTATAACTATTCTTGCTACTTCATACAAGTGAAATTATACGGTATTGTTCTTTTTTGATTAGCTTATTTTACTTAGCATAATGTCCTCAAGTTTCATCCATGTTGTAGCATATCAGAATTGCCTTCCTTTTTAAAACTGAAATCAGACCATTGCATGTATATACCACATTTTGGCTATCTAGTCACTTATTCATAGACATTTGAGTAGCCCGCACCTTTTGGTGACTATGAATGATACTATGAACATGGGTACACAATCAGTTTTATTTTAAAATAAACATAGGATATTGATCAGAGGCAGTCATGTAGATCACTTAATTACAAGAAGCTGGAAAATATGGAAAACTGAGGAAATATATGGTAAATATCACTGTCTCTGCTGCAGACATATTTTTACACATATTTCATACTATAATATATAACATAATGTATTAGTCCATTTTCACATTGCTATGAAGAACCACCTGAAACTGCGCAATTTATGAAGAAAAGTGGTTTAATTGACTCACAGTTCCACAGGCTTAACAGGAAGCATGACTTCGAGGCCTGAAAAAACTTACAATCATGGCAGAAGACAAAGGAGAAGCAAGCACACCTTACCATGGCAGAGCAAAAGAGAGAGTGAGCAAAGTGGGAAGTGCCACAAACTTTCAAACACCCAGATCTCATGAGAACTCACTCACTATCAGGAGAACAGCAAGGGGGAAATCCACTCCATGATTCAATCGCTTCCCACCAGGTCCCTCCCCCAACGCGTAGGGATTACAATTCGAGATGGGATTTGGGTGGGGACGCAGAGTCAAAGCATATCACACAGCAATATATACATTATGTTGATTATTATCACATATAATCATTATTATGTATATGTTAATACATATATTAATTACACTGGCTGAATGTAGAGAGCAGATTGTAGTAGGTAAAGAAATGAATCAAGGAGACTGTTGGAAAGCTAGTTAGTATGTAAAATAGGTCAAGAAAGAGATTATTGTTGATTAGTATAAATTAGTGCAGTGGAAGTTAACAGAAGGAAGTTGATGACTGAGTTATACTTCGGAGGGAGATGAGGAAGGCTGCTATGGTTTGCGCTTTTCCCCACCAAAAGGCATGTTGAAATTTGACCCCATTGTGGCTGTGATGGGTGGTGGGGCCTAGTGAGAGGTGTTTAGGTCACACGGTTGGATCCCACATGAATGCGCTGGTGCTATTCTCACAGCACTGACTTCTCACTCTGGAGCAGAGGGGACTCCGGGAATGGATTAACTCACGTTCTCACAAGTGGGCTGTTGTAAAGTGAGGTTCCTCCTCCTGCTCAGTCCCTCTTCACACACGTTCACATCCCCTTTGTTCTGCTCTGCAATGTTATAACAAAGCACAGAAGCCCTCACCAGAAGCCCGGTCCATGCCCTTTAACTTCCTTGCCTGTAGAACTGTGAACTAAATAAACCTCTTTTCTTTATATGTTACCCAGTTTCAGTATTCTGTTATAGCAACACAAAACAAAGACCTGCGGCTTCAATAAAAGAATACGGGTAAAGAGGTAAAAAATGACTTCCAGATTTCTGGTTTGAGCATGTGAATGGTCTTTAACTTGCAGAAGGAAAAGATTTCCTTACAGGACATGGTGGGACGTAAAGCTGAGGGAGAAAGTATTGAGCATTTCCTTTTTGATATATTAAATTTAAGCTCGAGATGTCATAATAAAAAGGCAGAGAGTTGCTGTGAAACTCAAGAGAGGAGTTCCTAACTACAAGAATGACCTAGAGAAAGCCACTACTAGAGACGGAAAAAAATTAGCCAGTGAAGTAGAAGGAAAACCAGGAGACGGGCCCTTGAAGTTAAAAGAACAGTGATTCAAGTGTGAAGGGTGTGGTTAACTGTCACATCCACTTAAAGGCTGGAGTAAGGACAGTAATGAGTAATCTGGGAGCTTGGAGTTCTTGTTAACTTTACTGAGAAGTTTAAACAGTCATGTGAGCTGAGTCCCATTAAAGTGGTTGTTTGAAAAGTAAATGGGAGGTGAGGGAGTAAGAGCCGAATGAGCGCAACTCTTTGGGAGAATACTAACTTTGAAGAAAAGAAGAAAAATAAAAATTGATGTAGGGTCAGTAAAGGGTTTTCCTAAGCTATTAGAGACTAGAAGATTTGTGCACCGAGGAATAATCTAGAATATAGAAGGATATGAATGATGCAGCAGAAAGCTGGAGTTAAATTCTCAGGATAGCAAGAGGGGATGGAATGGAGAGCACAAGTGGAGGAGCTGGGCTACTCTGAGTTTGCGCAGGACCTTCTTGCATTTAGCACTGAAAGTCTAGCAGCCAGGGAAACGTATTGGTTGCAGGCAAACTATTATTGGGCTCTGGTTGGCTCTACCCTGCAGCAGGCTTCTTCTCGTCTTTCACGCACCTTCTCAAATGTCATCAACTAAAGGTTCCTCTGATTACTCTGAAGTAGGCCCCTCCTCCATCTTCTTTGATCCAAACAATCACACATTCTGTAGCTATTGTTAATATTTATTTAGTGGCAAGGCTGTAGAGAAATAGGAACACTTTTACACTGTTGGTGGGAGTGTAAATTAGTTCAACCATTGTGGCAAACAGTGTGGCAATTCCTCAAGGATCTAGAACCAGAAATGCCATTTGACCCAGCAATCCCATTACTGGGTATATGCCCAAAGGATTATAAATCATTCTATATAAAGACACATGCACACATATGTTTACTGCAGCACCATTTACAACAGCAAAGACTTGAACCAACCCAAACACCCATTAATGATAGACTGGATAAAGAAAATGTGGCACATATACACCATGGAATATTATGCAGCCATAAAAAAGAATGAGATCATGTAGTTTGCAGGGACATAGATGAAACAAGAAGCCATCATTCTCAGCAAAATAACACAGGAACACAAAACCAAATACCACGTGTTCTCACTCGTGAGAGTTAAACAATGAGAACACATGGACACAGAGAAGGGAACAACAAACACCAGGGCCTCTCAGCAGGGTGGGGAACAAAAGAAGGAACAGCATTAGGGCAAATATCTAATGCATGCGGGGCTTAAAACCTAGATGACAGGTTGATAGGTGCAGTAAACCACCATGGCACATGTATAGCTATGTAACAAACCTGCACATTCTGCGCATGTATCTCAGAACTTAAAGTAAAAACTAAAATAAAATAAATATTTATTTAGTGTATCTCCTCCACTAGAATGTAAGCTCCTTAAGAACACAGATTGATACCTTTTTCTCTCCTGTACGCCTTGTTATTGACAGAGAGCAGGAGCACTCTCTAGATAGACAGATAGATAGATAGATAGATAGATAGATAGATAGATAGATAGATAGATAGATAGATAGATAGAGAGAGAGAGATATATTCTCTCTATATAGACACACATATATAGATATATCTATCTATATATAGATATAGATGTGTGTGTGTGTGTGTGTGTGTGTGTGTATATATTCAAAGTTGGCCAGGCATGGTGGCTCATGCCTGTAATCCCAGCACTTTGGGAGGCCGAGGTGGGTGGATTTCTTGAGGTCAGGAGTTCAAAACCAGCCTAGCCAATGTGGTGAAACCCCACCTCTACTAAAAATACAAATATTAGCCAGGTATGGTGGTACACACCTGTGGTCTCAGCTACTCGGGAGGCTGAGGCAGGAGAATCGCTTGAACCTGGGAGGCAGAGGCTGCAGTGAGCCAAGATCGCACCACTGCACTCCAGCCTGGGCAGCAGAGTAAAAATCTGTCTCAAAAAAAAACAAAAAACAAAGTCTCCGTAACACACACACACTCTCTCTCTCTCTCTATATATATATATACACACACATATATATACACACACACAACAGAAGTGTAGTGATAACTTATTGTAGATAATATATTGTGAAATTTACACTTCCCTGATCAATGATGATGAGCAACTTTTCACATGTTTAATGGACATTTTTTAATCTCATCTTTTTATCCCTTCTCATTTTTTTTAACGGTGTCTATAAAAAAACAGTACTTTTAAATTCTGATTAAGTTCAGCCAGGTGCAGTGGCTCACACTTGTAATCCCAGCACTCTGGGAGGCCAAGGTGGGTGGATCACCTGAGGTCAGGAGTTTAAGACCAGCCTGACCAAAAATGGAGAAACCCCAACTCTACTAAAAATACAAAATTAGGGCCTGGTGGCACATGCCTGTAATCCCAACCACTTGGGAGTCTGAGGCAGGAGAATTGCTTGAACCCGGGAGGCAGAGGTTGTGGTGAGTCAAGATTGCACCATTGCACTCCAGTCTGGACAACAAGAGCGAAACTCCGTCTCAAAAAAAAAAGAAAAAAATCTGATTAAGTTCAATCTACCAACTTTTCTTTCTGGTTATTACATTTTATGTCCCAACTATGGAATCATTGTAAGTAACCATGCTTTCTTTATTACACATTTTTAATATCTTTAATAAATATTATTTGAAAATAATTTCAAACTTAAAGTTACAAGAATGGTACAAACACCTGCACACCCCTTAGCATATTCACCTAATGTTAACATTTTCCCGAGTCATTCTTTTTTTCCCACTCCTTCTCTGCTTTGCTCTATTCCAGCCTTGCCTCTGTGCTTTATCCTTTTTCTCTGTATATATCTGATCACATAACATTGTTTCTGAACCATTTGAGGATAAGTTATATACACCAGGACTCTTTATTCCTAAATACGTCAAATACCTAGAAATTACTCTGTAGGAATAATGATACTCTCTTATATACTTACGTTATAGGTATCAATTCAGTAAATTCAGCATCAATGTAATATTTAATCTACCATCCATATTCCAATTGTGTGAAGTGATCCAATAATGTTCTTTATGGCATTTTTATAGCTTTACTGAGGCATAATTGACCAAAAAACTGTACATAAAGTGTAATAATCATTATCATAAGGAACAAACTCATCAACCCTAAAAGTTTTCTTATGAGTCTTTGTAATCCAACATCACTCCATTTCCTAGACAACCACTAAATTTTTTTTTGCTTGTTTTTGAGACAGGGTCTCACTTTGCTACCCAGGCTGGAGTGCAGCGGCATGATCTCAGCTCACTGCAACCTCCATCTCCCAGGTTCAAGCAATTCTCATGCCTTAGCCACCTGAGTAGCTGGGACTACAGGCATGTACCACCAGGCTCAGCTAATTTTTGTATTTTTAGTACAGATAGGATTTTGCCATGTTGGCCAGGCTGGTCTTGGAACTCCTGACTTCAAGTGATCTGCCCACCTTGGCCTCCCAAAGTGCTGGAATTATAGGTGTACCGTGCCCAGCCCACTAATGTATTTTCTACCACTATAGATTTGTTTACATTTTTGAACTTTATAAAAATCTATTTCTGCATCATGTACTCTCTTTCATCTGAATTCTTCCACTGAGCATAAATACTTTTAGAATCATACATATTTGTTCCTTTTTATTATTGAGCATTATTCCATCGCATGGATACAGCACAATTTGTTTATTCACGCTCATGTTAACAGATACTTGTGTTGTTTCTAAAAGCTTTTGGCTATTTCAAATAAAGCTGCTATGAAGAATCATGTAACAGCTTATGTGTGGGCATGTGCTTTCATTTCTTCTTTTTTTTTTTTTTTTTTTTTCGAAACTCCTGGGCTCAAGCAATCCTCCTGCCTTGGCCTCCCAAAGTGCTGAGGAGACAGGCATGAGTCACTGCTTTCACTTCTCTTCAGTGAACACTTGGGAATAAAATGGCTAGGTCAAATTGTAAATACATGTTTAACTTTTTTTTTTCCTTGAAACAAAGTCTTGCTCTGTTGCCCAGGCTGCAAGTTAAAAAGCCATGTTTAACTTTTTCAGAAACTGACAAACTAGTTGTTTTCCAAAATTGTTGTACAACTTTACATTCCCACCAGCAATATATGAGAGTTTCAGTGGCGCTAATCCTCAGCAACACCTGGCATTGTCAATCTTTTAAACTTCATCTGAAGTGGGTGTGTACTGGTAGCTTGTTGTGATTTTAATATAATTTCCCTAATGACTAATGTTATTGAGTATCTTTCCATAGGCTTACTGATCTACCATTTGTATGCATTTAATTTTTTAATTAGATTGTCTTCTTGTTACAGAATCATAATGGTTCTTAATATATTCTAGATGCAGGCATATTACATCTTATTGTGCTTTACTTGATTGCTCTTTGCAGATTTATTTTTGCAAATTGACAGTTTGAGGCGACCCAGCATTGAGCAAGTATATTGGTGCTATTTTTCCAACAATATGTGCTCACTTCATGTCTCTGTGTCATATTTTGTAATTCTTGCAATTATTTCAAACATTTTCATTACTATTG